AAAAAAAAAAAAATCACATGGAATCTCAAGGGATCCTGAATAGCCAAAACCATCTTGAAAAAGGACAAAGTTGAAGAACTCACATTTCCTGATTTCGAAACTTACTACAAAGCTAGTATAATCAAAACAGTTTGATGACAGCATGAAGACAACCATAGAGCAATGGCATAGAATAAAGAATCCAGAAATAAACACTTGCATATACAGTCAAATGGTTTTCAACAAGGGTGGCAAGGCCATTCAGTCTTTTCAACAAATGATGGCTAGGAAAACTGGGTATCCATATGCAAAAGAATGAAGTTGGACCCTTACCTCATATCATATATAAAAATTAACTCAAAATGGATCAAAGACCCAAATACAAGAACATTTGGGAGAAGAATTTCATGACATTGGATTTGGTGATGATTTCTTGGATACGATATCAAAGGCATGAGCAACAAAAGGAAAAATAGATAATCTGGACTTAAGAACTATAAGCAGAGTAAAAAGGGAACCCACAAAATGGGAAAAACATTTGCAAATTATCTATCTAATAGGAACTCATATCTAGAATATATAAAGAACTATGCTCAATAAAAGAACAAAAAATCCAATTAAAAAATGGACAGAGGACTTAAATTAGACATTTCTCAAAAAAGACATACAAATGGCCAATAAGCACATGATAAAAAGGTTCAACATTGTTAGTCATGAGGAGAATGCAAATCAGAACCCTAATAAGGTATCACTTCACATGCATTAGGCTATGTTGTTTTAAATCAACAGAAAATAGTGAGTGTTGATAAGGATGTGAAAAAACACTTTGGGAGGCCGAGGCGGGTGGATCACGAGGTCAAGAGATCGAGACCATCCTGGTCAACATGGTGAAACCCCGTCTCTACTAAAAATACAAAAAATTAGCTGGGCATGGTGGGGCATGCCTGTAATTCCAGCTACTCAGGAGGCTGAGGCAGGAGAATTGCCTGAACCCAGGAGGCAGAGGTTGTGGTGAGCCGGGATCGCGCCATTGCACTCCAGCCTAGGTAACAAGAGTGAAACACCGCCCCCCCCCCCCAAAAAAAAAAGGATGCGAAAAATTAGAACTGTGCAATGCCAGTAGGAATATAAAACAGTATAGGTGCTACAGAAAAAGGCATGGCAACTCCAGCAAAAATAATCATAAAATCACCATGTGATCCTGCAACTGTATTCCTGGGTATATACCCCAAAGAAGTAAAAAAGACTCAGATACTTGTATACCTATGTTCACAGCAGCATTATTGATAATAGCCAAAAGGGGGAAGCAACCCAAGTGTCCACTGATGGATGAATGGATAAACAAAATGTGGTAAATATGTACAATGGATTATTATTCAGCCTTAAAAAGGAAAGAAATGTTGATACATGCATTATCCTTGCTGCAACATGGATAGACCTCAAAGACATTAAGCTAAATAAGCCAGTCACAAATGGACAAATATTTTATGATTCCAATAACATGAAATTCCTAGAGTAGTCCAATTCATAGGTCAAAGAGACAGAAAGTAGAATGGTGGTTGCTAGGAACTGGGGAAAGAAGGGAATAGAGATTTAGTGTTTAATGGCTAGAGAGTTTCAGTTTTGGATAAAATTTTTAGAGATGGATGGTGGCGAAGGTTACACAAAAACACAAATGGACTTAATACCACAGAACCATATACTCAAAAATGGTTAAAATGGTGAATTTTGTTAGGCATATTTTACCCTAATTAAAAAAAAAGTGTCAAGGAATCTTAAATGGCAGATTAGAAACCTGGAGAATGGTGGGTCTCAATAGGTAATCAGTAGATCTGGCTCTTCACTGATGGGCCTTCAAATATCAGTACGTACAGGTCTTTCCTCTTGGGCTGGTTAGAGCCTATTCATAGAATATAAAATGGCGATGGCCAGGTGCGGTGGCTCACACCTGTGATCCCAGCACTTTGGGAGGCCAAGGCAGGTGGATGACTTGAGGTCAGAAGTTTGAGACCAGCCTGGCCAACATGGTGAAACCTGCCTCCACTAAAAATACAAAAATTAGCTGGGTATGGTGGTGCACGCCTGTAATTGTGGCTACTTGGGAGGCTGAGGTAGGAAAATTGCTTTAACCCAGGAGGTGGAGGTTGCAGTGAGCCGAGATTGAGCCAATGCATTCCAGCCTGGGACACAGCGAGACTCCATTGGGGTGGTGGGGGGAGAGAAAACTGCTATTCTCCAAGGCCTAAAACAGTACAAGATGAATCAACGGCTTAGAGAATTCTTAATATTTGTATCAGGAACTATGCTATTTCAAAATTATAAACTCAATCCTTAAATTACCAAAGGTGTGATATTATTCCTATTTTACTAATCAGGTGGGGTATAAGAAGACTGGATATCTTGAGTACAGAAACTAAGCCACAGTTGAGATTCAAACATGGAGTCTGTATTACTCCATGGCTCACCTTAATCATTATATTACACTGCCACCTTCAGTGTGTGTATGTACACGTGTGTCTATGCATACATTTGCATACTATATACTATACACACACACACACACACACAATACACACACATTGTATAGCACAAGTCCCCAAGAATAAGAATCTGTTTTACCACATGCTAATAACATAACCTCTGAGTTATGATCTGATGCATGCTGTCCTAGTCAGATTTAATTTAGTAAGTAGTTCAATTTTGTGTGTCTAATTCTAAATGAACCAACCCAAAAGACCGTATCTAATAAAAGGTCTGTAAGTCATGTCACAAAGAATGGCTGAAGGAATTAGAAATATTTAGCCCAAATAAGAAAAGTTGGGCCGGGCGGGGTGGCTCATGCCTGTAATCCCAGCACTTTGGGAGGCTGAGGCAGGTGGATCACCTGAGGTCGGGAGTTGGAGACCAGCCTGACCAACACAGAGAAACCCTGACTCTACTAAAAATACAAAAAATTAGTCAGGCATGGTGGCGCATGCCTGTAATCCTAGCTACTCGGGAGGCTGAAGCAGAATTGCTTGAACTCTGGAGGTTGCGGTGAGCTGAGATCGCACCATTGCACTCCAGCCTGGGCAATAAGAGCAAAACTCCATCTCAAAAAAAGAAAGGCTGTCTGGGGGGTGAGGGTAGAGGAAGAGAAAGACAATGTCATGATAAAGGTAGAATAAGATAATGATCAAGAACACAGACTTCTGACTTAGATATCTGCCCTCTTCCCCTAACTAGCAGTGCCACCTTAGTTAAGTTACTTATCCTCTCTCTGCTTTTAGACCTTAAAATGAGAGTAACAAAAATATCCAGTACCTGGTATCTTGCTCAAAGTAACTATAAGGAATGAATTAAGTAATAAAATGCATTTAACACAGTACTGGGCACAGAATAAGAAGCTCTAAGGTGTGTTGTTGTTAGTGATCAATCTTCAAATAGTAAAAAGCCTGAAGACATATGTGAGGAGAAGGCAGTGAATCACTGCTATAGTGAAGCACAGCTGATGCCAATGAACTACATCGCAGCATGGGGTGAAAGTCTCCAAGACACAGAAATGGTTGGAAGAAAAATTGCTGGTTATATTGTCTAATTCTGATTAATAAAAAATTGCCATTCTCATTAGGAGTACTTGCTTCCTATGACACCTTTGATCAGCCTCCCAATAATATATGTATAGAAGATAGCACAGGATATTAGGAAGTGTACAAACTAGTAATGAGAAATAAGAATTATAGTCCTACTTTTGATATTAACTATGAGTGTGATCTGGGATGAGCCATATGATGAAGAGAAGAAACAGCATATTTGCTATTATTCCCAAACTTTCAAGTTTACTTTAGAAATATAAACTTACTTCCTCCTAAAATACTTAAAACTTAACTTGCCCTTCAATAAGTAATTAAATTACTAAGTTAAAAATTTAGAAGTCTTTAAACCTGGGCTTAAAAAGCTCTGATATTTGGAGCCAAATGGCAACCTGATCACTTTTAATTTAGAGTTCTCCATCTTCTTGCATCACTAGCGATGATAGCTGAGCCAGTTTTTATAGAGAAAGGCTGTGTACGGTAGTGGTGTGCAGTGTGGGCTGTACAGCCTGACCACCCAGATTCTGTAACAGCTTGTTGGCTGTGGAGTCTGACTGACTACATAAAGAAACTAATGCTAAGAAAGCTCATCTATGATTATAACAGCACCTATTAACTCACAGGATTAAGAGCAATGAATATAAATTTATAATTATACTGAAGGCTTGACACAAACCTCAAAGCACTATTAAACAGTAAAGCTAAACAATGCTGAGTGAGGTGTTTAAAAATTATAAATTTTTCCTATAAGGAAGCAGAAACCAATTTTGGGGGGACTCATTCTGGAAAAAAATATTTTACAAAATTGTCCCATTTTCCAATATAGTAACTGGTTTGCTGAGCTCCAAAACTGTGTGCTTTCTCTTAAAAAAAAAAAAAAAAAAAAAAAATTGGCCAGGCGCAGTGGCTCACGCCTGCAATCCCAGCACTTTGGGACACCGAGGTGGGAGGATCACGAGGTGAGGAGTTCGAGACCAGCCTGGCCAACATGGTGAAACCCCATCTCTACTAAAAATACAAAAATTAGCTGGGCATGGTGGCATGCGCCTGTAGTCCCATCTGCTCAGGAAGCTGAGGCAGAAGAATCGCTTGAACCCAGGAGGCAGAGGTTGCAGTGAGCCAAGATCGCACCACTGTACTCCAGCCTAGGTGACAGGGCGAGACTCCATCTCACATACGGAAATAAAAAATTTTTTAATTCAGAGTAATATCTTAAAATTATGACATCCCCCTTAGTTCTGGTGTTTTCCAAATTATAAAAATGCATGTTTATTACAACAAGTGACACAAAACAAGATTAAGAAGTATAATATAGGCAAAGCTAATTCTCTCTTCCCAAATCTAATCCCATCCTCTAAAATAATCAAGATTATCAGTACAAATGTTTTTATAAATTCATTTTTTCCCAAAATTACTACAGATATGATACTCAAAAGCTTACCTCCAGATATATTGATGGTGGATTATGCTCCCCACCAAATTTGTCCAATAGCGCCTCTATATGTTCCTGTGTCAACTTAATCATTTGTTTGATATTCCACACCTAAAAAATATTTTAAAAGAATTTAAATAAAAATCACTTAGAATATGAATTAGAAATATTTTAATGTAGACAACTACATTACAGTAACTGCCAGTGTTCCTCAAATTTTAAGCTTAGAGATCATTTAGTAAGTGGTTTCTCTCTTTTATTATTATACATCTTTAAATTTTTTTCTACACTAGTAATACAACTTATTCTCAACTACAAAAGATTCAAATAATTCATGAATATTCAGAATAAACCATGAAAATCTCTCTTAATCTTCCTCACATTCCCAGGCTCCCTTTTGAAAAAGTTAAGTTCTGTTTATGGTTTGGTGAGCAGCCTTCCATGTCTCCCTTTTATTCATGGAAAAAACATACATACATATATGAAATATACAAATATAAATAAATACTATATATAAAATACTTTCGACACTTGCTTTTGTCACATAATAATAATGCCTCAGAAGTCTCTCCACGTCAATATGTATATATTTTACTCCCTAATAGTTATATAGCATGCACTGCTATTTCAACAGTCTCCAGACATCAGTGGTATCCAGCAAACAACTGAGTCCAATTTGTTTGGTTTGATAGTGAGAACTGGCTACACAAATTAGGTTATATGGCAGATTCTATTTCTAAGTTGAATGATCTAGATCTGCAGTTTTAAGGTTTGTCCAAAAAATGTATTTAACGTAAATATAATACACAGTAGAAATTATGGCCTTTAAAACTATTTAAATTTATAATGAAAAAATGTCAGATACCAATTTTTAAATGTACAGGGAAATAAATGAAAAAACAACAACAACAACAACAACAACAAAAAAAAAGGTTCCAAGTCTCTTGGTTTATTTAATAATTCTCTTACCAAAGAACATTTAGGTTATCCCATTTCCTGAACATCAAACAATACTTCAAAAAAATAGTTCTGAACTGCCTTTCAGGGTAAAAGTGCAAGTTTTATTTTTTGATATCTAGGTATGCGATTCCAGGATTGAAGGATATACGTAACTTAAAATTTAATAAATATGCCAAATGGTCTTCCAAAAGAAGAAATGTATCAAGTCAAGTCCCTATCTGCAGGGTAGAAGTCACTGTTTTCCCCTCAATCTCACCAATACCCAGCATAATCACACTTCTAAACTTTTGCCAATTTGAAAGGCAAAAGGTAATAATCATGTTTTAATTTGTATTTCCTACAAAGTTGAGCATTTTTTTTTCCCATTTATTTATTTTATTGTATTTTAGGTTTTGGGGTACATGTGAAGAACATGCAAAATTGTTGCATAGGAACACACATGGCAGTGTGATTGGCTGCCTTCCTCCCCATCACCTACATGTGGCATTTCTCCCCCTGCTATCCCCCCCCTAAGTTGAGCATTTTTTATGCTTACTGGCCATTTGAGATTTTGGAAAATTCCCTATACTGTACTCCTTTTTATTCTATTAAGTTGTTTCTTTCCTACTCATTTATAGATACTCTTTATTCTGGATATTAATCTTTCTTCTACAAATGTTAAGGTCTTTCAATTGTTTTTCATGTCTCTTGTCATATAGTCTTGCTACTCAAAGTGTGGTCCAGAGACCAGCAGCATCAGCATCTTCTGAAAGACTGTGAGAACAGGAGAAGCTGGCCTGGCATAGTGGCTCGCATCTGTAATCACAGCACTTTGGGAGGCCAAGGCAAGTGGATTGCTTGAGCCCAGGAGTTCACCATCAGCCTGGGCAACATGATGGATGCCCATCTCTATAAAAAATACAAAAATTACTGGGAGGCCGAGGCGGGTGGATCACGAGGTCAAGACATCGAGACCATCCTGGTCAACACGGTGAAACCCCGTCTCTACTAAAAATACAAAAAATTAGCTGGCCAGGGTGGCGCGTGCCTGTAATCCCAGCTACTCAGGAGCTGAGGCAGGAGAATTGCCTGAACCCAGGAGGCAGAGGTTGCGGTGAGCCGAGATCACACCATTGCACTCCAGCCTGGGTAACAAGAGCAAAACTCCGTCTCAAAAAAAAAAAAAAAAAAAAAAAAAAAAAAAATACAAAAATTAGTCGGGCATGGTGGTGCATGCCTGTAGTCCCAGCTACTCAAATGGCTGATGTAGGAGGATCACCTGAGCCTAGGGGGCTGAGGCTGCAGTGAACCATGACTGCCCCACTGCTCCATAGTCTGGGCAACAGAGTGAGACTCAGTTTCTACCGCCATCCCACAACCTGCCAAAACAAACAAACAAACAAACAAAAACAAAAACAAAAAAACCAGCAGAAACTCAAGCTCCATCTCAGATCTACTGAACTTTAGCAAAATGATTGATATGCATATTAAAGTCTGAGAAGCAATGACAGAGGTTCCAAATTTTTTTCTAGTCAGATATTTAAATGTTTTCTTTCGTGATGCCTTTGCTAATTTCTCACACCTCCACAAAGTGTTGGATGGCTTCTTTTATCTAGCTACACTTACTCCCTAGGTGATTTCATCCAATCTTGTATCTTTATATGCCTACTGATGAAGCCCAAAATTTAAAATCCAGCTCTACCTTTTCCTCTCAATACCAGATCCCCAACTGCCTGTTGAATAGGTCTACTAGTATACCTAATAGACATTTCAAACTTAACATGTGCAAAGACTAACTTCTGATCTCCCCCACTATCCCACAAAATTCGTTTTTCCTATAATCTCTTTACCTCAGAAAATGACAAGCTCCACTCATTGAGTAAACCAAAAACTTCAGCATCATCCTTGACTCTTTTCTCACATCTGACAATCCATCTCAATCCATCTCCAAATCAAAATATATGTAGATATAGTCACCACCTCTACCATTACCACCTGGTCTAAGCCACCTTCATTTCTCTTTTATTACTACAGTTTCTGAAATGGTCTCTCCTGTTTCATACCTAGAAATGCACAGTAGCTATTCTTCAAAAACTCTAACTGCAGGCTGTGTGTGGCTCATGCCTGTAATCCCAGCACTTAGGAAGGCTGAGGCGGGAGGATAACAACATAGTAGGACCCTGTCTCTACAAAAAAAAAAAAATTAGCCAGACATGGTGGAGTGTGCCTGTGGTCCCAGAGGCTGAGGTAGGAGGATTGCTTGAGCCTGGGAAGTTGAGGCTGCAATGAGCCATGATCACGCCATCCCAGCCTAGGTAACAGAATGAGACCCCCATCTCAAAAACAAAACTATAACTGCAAATTATATGTCATTCCCTTGCTCAAAACCCTCCACTGGCTTCCCCACTAAAAATCACCAAAGCTATGACCTGGCCCTCTGCCATTTGTCTATCTTCATTTCTTACTGTTCTTCCCGTCACTCGTCCCTCTCCAATCACACTTGGCCTCACTGAACATGCCAAGTATACTTCCAATGCAGGACTTGTGAATTTACTATTCCTTCTGCCTGGAATGCTCTTCCCCTAAGATTTCTACAAGGTTTATTATCTCACCAAGTTCATTCATCTCTTTATCCCAGTGTCACCTTATCAGTGAAGCATTCTCTTACCATCTCATTTAGAAAGGCAACTATCACCGGGCAGGTGTGGTAGCTCACGCCTGTAATCCCAGCACTTTGGGAGGCCGAGGTGGGTGGATCACCTGAGGTTGGGGGTTCAAGACCAGCCTGACCAACATGGAGAAATCCCGTCTCTACTAAAAATACAAAACTAGCCGGGTGTGGTGGTGCATGCCTGTAATCCCAGCTACTAGGGAGGCTGAGGCAGGAGAATCCCTTGAACCTGGGAGGTGGAGGTTGCAGTAAGCCGAGATTCCGCCATTGCACTCCAGCCCGGGCAACAAGAGCAAACTCTGTCTCCAAAAAAAAAAAAAAAAAAAAAAAAAAAAAAAAAAAAAAAAATACAACCAAAAAAAAAAAAAAAAAAGAAAAAAAAAAAGATAGGCAACTATCCCTCCCATTCCTTAGAGGAACAGAATCAGTTTCCATATCCTTTGTTAATTTTATTTGTTCTATAGCATATGTGACCACCTTATTATATATATATTTTACTTTATTTTGTTATTGGTGTGCATCTTCCCCACTCCCCAACAGAATAAAGTCCAGGAGGGCATCGGTTTTTGTCTTATTTTTTTTCTGATTTATCCCTAGGGCCTGGAACAGTGCCTGGCATATTATAAGCACTCAAACATTATTTGTTTAAAAAATGAATATTTTATTTATTTTTGAAACAAGGTCTCTGTCTCCCAGGCTGGAGTGCAGTGGCACAATCTTGGTTCACTGCAGCCTCAGCTTCCCTGGCATCGATCCTCCCACCTCAGACTCCCAAGTAGTTGAGACTACAGGTGCGCACGACACCTGGCTAATTTTTGTATTTTTAGTAGAGATGGAGTTTTGCCACATTGCCCAGGCTCGATCTTTCCTTAGAGCATCCCTCTATGATGTGTTCACTGACCAACTGGGCAAAACTGTTTTCTAAGTCATAATTTGATAACATAAAGTTGATTATGTTTTCCATATCTACTAGCTACTTTAAGATCAGAAACATTTTATTCTTTTTTTGTCCCCTCATGACTTATTTTGGTGTCTTAGTCATAATAGGTACTCAAACCTGAAGATTTAAGTTGTTTTCAGAATACAGTAATAGAGAGAGAACAAGTCATCCTAGTTCAGTGACTCTTTCTTAGGTCCAGTAAATTCAGGACAACATTACCCACACTCCCTTTTTTTTAAATGTTCCATAAAAACTCATATGCAGTTAGCATAAAGATCTATTTTTCCCAAGGGATGGGAGAAAGCGGGGGGAAAATAACACAGAGGGGAAATAAAGAGAATGAGCTGATTAGAATAAAATTTTATTGCTGGGGTATAGAAAATGTTAAGATTGGGCCGAGCATGGTGGCTCATGCCTGTAATTCTAGCACTTTGGGAAGCCGAGGCTGGTGAATCACTAGAGGTCAGGAGTTTGAGACTAGTCTGGCCAACATGGTGAAACTAAAAATACAAAAAATTAGCCAGGCATGGTGTCAGATGCCTGTAGCCCCAGCTGAGGCAG